GATATTGCCCTTGTCTAGTTGCCTGGGAAACAAAAAAATCAATAATGACATCACTTCAAAGGGCAGTGTTTTGCAAATGATTCTACCTCAGCACACAAAGGGAGAAGGGGCTTTCGTCATATGAGCGAAGACCTTACTTGGGAAATATGGGATAGAGGCTTCAGACCATGCAAACCCGAAATTAAAATAATCAAACTGGAGAAGAGCTGAATCAAGACTTGACTAAATAAAATGGGATTACAAATCCAACACCTCACCATACATCAATTGGTATCATCTCAAACTATTTGAGAAACATAAAGAGATCCTTCACATATCAGCAAGAGTGGCCTGGGAGAAATTTCCCGGGGAATATTCATTTCCAAAATTTCAGAGTTCATCCATCCTCGAAATCACCATTTTTTTGTTTTCCTTGAATCACAAAATCTAAAGTAAAACTTAATTTGTAAATTCTTTTTAAAACAATTTTATTGTTAAATCTCTTTGTTTTAAAAATTACTATCAATAATAAATGGAATCTTTGCTAAAATAGAATAAAATAGGAATTACAAAGAATTGGATAAAAGCTCAAACTTTATTAATAGAATGGTAGTCTACGAATGGAGAGATCCCATAGATGATTATGAATTTTTGAAAATGGTAATATATTAGAAAAGATACATTGAAATACAATGACCATTATTCTCCCTAACAACTTTGAATTCCTGAGAAATGACTTTTGTTGAAGTGTGGTGAGGATCTGAGAAGATTGTTGCTTCAATGATCAAGTCTTGTCTGACGTAGTTACTTCCCAAGAAATCCCTAAGTTTTGCCTAGGTTGGCCTTGCGGGTTTTAAACCTAGCGGGAAAATTTATTCTATTTGTGTCTCTTATTTTTGCCTAGACCTCCCTTTCGGGTTTTCAGCCTACAGAGACGCTATTTTTTTCACCTAAGTCACCCTTTCGGTTTTTTGACTTAGCAAGTTGTTATTTTATTTCTTTAGGCAATTTATTTCTTGACTGCATCATCATTCATATAACATGGGAACTCCTTGCCTACCATAGTTTCAAGAATCAGTGCACCACCAGAGAAGGCTTTCTTGACAACATATGGGCCTTCAAAATTGGGAGTCCACTTGCCCTTAGAATTAGTGTTAAAAGACATGATTTTTTTGAGCACGAGGTCACCTTCTTTGAATTCACGAAGTTTTCCCTTCTTATCAAAAGCTTCTTCATTCTCTTCTAGTAAAACATGTCATGACACAAGGCTGTCATTCTCTTTTCTTCATTCAAGTTCAATTGGTCAAACCTATTCTAGACCCACTGAGCCTCTGACAATTTGGTTTCTGTTATCAAACGTAGGGAGGTAATCTCAACCTGAATGGGGGGAACTGCTTCCATGCCATACACAAGAGAGAACGGGGTTTCCTCTGTTGAAGTGCAAACAGATGTACGATACCCATGCAAAGCAAAAGGGAGCATCTCATGCCAATCTTTATAGGTAACAACCATCTTCTGAATGATCTTGTTGATATTTTTATTAGCAACATCAACAACCCCATTCATCTTTGGCCTATAAGGAGATGAATTGGGGTGGACAATCTTGAATTACTCACAAAGTTCTGTCATCATCTTGTTATTCAGATTCGAGCCATTGTCGGTGATAATCCTGCATGTCACACCATATCGACATATAAGATTATTCTTGATAAAGCATACAACAACTTGTTTAGTGACATTAGCATAGGAAGCTACTTCCACCCATTTGGTGATGTAGTCAATTGCCACCAAGATGAAACTATGTCCATTCGATGTCTTGGGTTCAATCATTCCAATCATGTCAATACCCCACAAAGAAAAAGGAAACGGGGAATAAATAACATTGAGAAGCGTCGGAGGCACATGAATTTTGTCAGCATAAATCTGGCATTATGGAAATTCTTAGCAAATTTGTAACAGTCAGATTCCATTATCAGCCAATAGTAACCTGCCCTAAGCATCTTTTTTTCCATCGAATGTCCATTAGCATGAGTACCAAAGTAACCTTCATGGACCTCATGCATCAACATGTCTGATTCGTGTCTATCGACGCATCTAAGCAAGACCATGTCATAATTTTTTTGTATAGCACATCTTCATTGAGGAAAGAGATATATGCCAACCTTCTCAATGTCTTTCTATCTTTGTTTGACGTACCAGCCGGGTATTTCTGAGTCTGGAGAAAATGCTTGATATCGTAATACCAAGGTTTTTTGTCTGACGTTCCCTTTGTTGTAAACACATGAGCCGGTTTATCCAAACATCGAACTGTGATACGAGGCACATTGTTCTAAGTATTTACTTGATACATAGAGGCTAAAATGGCTAAAGCATTTTCCATATGATTCTCATCTATAAGAATATGATGAAATTCAACATTATTAAAGAAGGGTAATAATCTTCTAGCATAGCCTTTGTAGAGAATCAAACCAACATGATTAATATCCCATTCTCTTTTAATTTGATTTATTACCAAATCTGAATCGCCATATACATCTAAAACTTTGATTCTGAGATCTATAGCTTCTTCGAGACCCATGATACAAGCTTCATACTCTTCCATATTATTAGTACAATCAAATTCCAATATTGCAGTAAAAGGGATATGCGACGCATGAGGAGTGATAATCATGACACCAATTCCTTTCCCATAAGCATTTACCGCTCCATCAAACACCATTCCCCATCGGGATTTAGGATCATGACCTTCCCCAAGAAAAGGTTCATCACAATATTTTATTTTGAAAAACATCACATCCACATCATGGAAATCATATTTAACAGACTGATAATCATCCACTAGTTGGTGAGAAAGATAATCTGCCAACACACTGCTTTTTGAAGCCTTCTGAGTATGGTATTCAATATCATATTCAGACAACAGCATCTGCCAACGGGTAATTCTTCCAGTAAGAGCGGGCTTTTCAAAAATATACTTAATTGGATCCATTTTGGAAATCAACCAGGTAGTATGATTCAACATATATTGCCGCAACCGCTTTGCCGCCCAGCCCAAAGCACAACATGTTTTTTCCAGCATAGAATATTGTGACTCACAGTCAGTAAACTTCTTACTGAGATACTAAATGGCATATTCTTTTCTTGCCATTTCATCTTATTGTCCCAAAATCCAGCCTGTTAAATTATCTAACACTTTCAGATACATAATCAATGGTCTTCCTTCAACAAGAGGGATCAAGATAGGAGGTTCAAGAAGATACTCTTTAATGCTTTCAAATTCCATTTGGAAATCATCTATCGACACACAACCTTGATCTTTTTTTAACAGCTTGAAGATCGGCTCACATGTTGCAGTCATATGGGAAATAAATCTGGAAATGCAATTTAAACGGCCAAAGAAGCCTCTAACTTGCTTTTTCGTTCTTGGTGCAGGCATTTCTTGAATCGCCTTAACTTTATCAAGATCAACTTCAATTCCTTTTTGGTTGACAATGAAACCTAAAACTTTTCCTGAACGAACACCAAAATTACATTTATTTGGATTTAAGCATAGACAACACTTCCTCAAACGCTGAAACAATTTCAACAAATTTTCTATCTTCCCTTCTTCAATCTGGGATTTGGCAATCATATCATCAACATATACTTCTATTTACTTATGCATCAGATCATGGAATAGGGTTGTCATATCCCTCTGGTACGTTGCACCAGTGTTCTTCAACTGGGAGGGCATCACTCTGTAATAGAATATTCCCCAGGGTTTGATAAACATTGTATTTTCCATGTCCTTAGGAGCCATTCTAATTTTACTATAACCAGAAAATCCGTCCATGAATGAGAATACTTTGAATTATGTTGTACTGTCAACCAACATATCAATATGTGGTAATGGAAAGTCATCTTTTGGACTAGCTTTGTTTAGATCTCTATAATCTACGCACATGCGAACTTTTTCTTCTTTCTTTGGTACTGGGACAATATTGGAAATCCACTGAGGGTACACTGATGTCACAATAAAACCTGCATTAATTTGCTTTAAAACTTCTTCTTTAATTTTCAGTGTTATATCAGGGTGAGTTCTTTGCAGCTTTTGCTTGATTGGTGGGAATTCTGGCTTTAGCGGAAAATGATGTTCCACAATATCAGTATCCAACCCTGGCATGTCTTGGTAAGACCAAGAAAATATATCCACATACTCTTTCAACAACTCAATCAACCTGCTCTTCACATTGGGGTGAAGAGATGCTCCAATATTGACTTCTTTTGGATCTTCCTCTAAACCCAAATTGATTTTCTCCAATGGTTGTTTATACGATTGAATGGTACTTTTCCCGCACACAAGAAACCGTGAAACCTCTTCTAGGATTTCATCATATTCTCCTTCTTCGGCCACATACACAGGATATTCAAAGTTGGGAGAGGGTGCAGGGTCATTGTACTCAACGTGTTTTTTAATTAATCTGGACATATGAATTATGATTGCTTTTAGAAACTGACACGTATAGTAAGTGATTATGTGGATTTATTTACAATTATTATTTATTTTGAAAGGATTTTTCTGATTACCATTTTCCAAGAAAAAGCAGAGAAAAAGACACAATTTGGGAATCAAAAACAACTTTTATTAATGATTTTAAAGATCAAAACAACATATATGCCCATACAATGTCAATACTTTCACCTTGGGCAGAGTGAAAGATTTTTTGAAAAGATTAACAAAAAAAAAATTACTTTGAAATATGAATGCAAGAAGGAACATCAATACTGATCCAGTTTTGGACTCTGACTCCATGTGTCATGTAGTTTGGCATCTCTTGCTCTGATTCGCCTTCCAGAATAGCATTGATCTTAGGAGTAGTTGGATGAAGGTAACCTCCACTGTGAAAGATGTCTTGATATTTTTCCAAAGTATACTTCAGCTTCATAATCTCACCTTTATTATTCTTCACGAAGAAACTCAAACCAGCTCTATTCTTATTCACAGGTGGATCAACAACCTGCCCCCACACACTACTAAAAAAATGACATTTGAGAAAAGGTTTTTACATCAGGTATAAAAATATACGATGTAAAAAATAAAATTAAAAACATTTTACATCAGGTATTTATTTGCAATGATATAAATAATATGAAAAAAAAATATTTTTTGCTATCTATTACATCGGGCCATTTAATCCACTGATGTAAAAGGTTTTGTGAAAAAACACGGTGGTAGTTTTGTAAATAACAAACCAGGTCGCAGAATTGTAAATAAAAAACTGGCCAGATATTACATTGGTTCTTGCAATCCACCGATGTAAAAAAGTCTGTGGCTGATTGGTAATATAAAAAATAGGCTACACCTTACATCAGGCCATTTATTCCACCGATGTAAAAAACATCAAAAACCTTACATCGGGCCATTCGTTAAACCGATGTAAAAAATATCAGCGCCTAAACCCTTACATCGGGCAACTGCTTGCACCGATGTAAAAAACATAACCGCTCGAACCCTTACATCGGGCCAATGCTTGCACTGATGTAAAAATTAATATATATATATATATATATATATATATATATATATATATATATATATATATATATATATATATATATATATATATATATATATATATATATATATATATATATATATATATATATATATATATATAATATTGAAATAACCCCTAAATGCGAATTATTTCGTTACTGTTCAACTTCTCTGTCCCACGAACGCACCCTTTCCGCTACTCCGCCCGTCTCTCCTACGCAGTTCCGCCCGTCTCGCCTACGCCACTCCTCACAGATCTGCCGTCTCCTCGCAGATCCACCGCCGGCTTCACGAAGACGGAGATGTTTCCCGCATTATACCCAAGAGCTTAGACAGTATATGAGGGTGAGCTACGCTAATTCACACACTTCCAACTCCATTAATGTATTTATAAATTATACTGCATTGCATCTCTTACCTTGATCATCTCTATTGTTCACATTCAGAACCTGATCCAGCATTAAAAATAGTTTGTCGCCAGATTTCACCTGTTATACCCCATAACTACAAGGATAGTAGCTATCTTGTATCCGTTTTTACTTTTACGGTAGGTAGAGGTCACTTCATTATATTCTAGGTTATAGTTTTATACCTATAAGGTTTTGATAATCAGTCAATTTCATTTGATACAGCTCAATAATTTGGGCAAAACAACAGCAAATGTCACCTTGCTTTTCACATGGGCTGTAAGTGAAATGTTTTTTTGGTGGCTCTTTACTATTACAGTATGTTTCTTGAGGTATTGAGTGCAACCAATTTGTTGTGTACATTCAGAATTCTGTTGGAGGGCAATCTGAATTTACTGGTCATCACTTCAACTCAAAGATAAAGTAAGAAAATTGTCTGTTGGTTTACAATCTACATGAAGATGTTCCCATTTGATTGCTTTCCCCATCCCCACACCTTGCCTTTACTTAATTCTAACATTCAAGATACATATTACCTCTTGCTAGGAGGCCTGATGGCGTGCATGGTGTGCTTCTACATCACAAGTAACTCTCTAACTTGTTAATACATTTTTAGGCAATGGATGAAAAATTAACTGATACATGCATCTACAGGACTGCAAATGAGCAATCTCTGCTATCATTTGCAATTGCAGCAGAAGAGACTGAATATGTTCATATCTCAGAATGCCCTGTCTTTGTTATATGCGGTTCTCACAAAGGCATCTCCACAAAGGACATGTGGCATGAAGTTAAACAGGTTATGGACTTACTTTCAGATTTTATTGATCTTTGTTTTTTTGAAATGTCTATGTTGTGTTATTACCATCAAGTTATTCATTCTTTATTCAGGTTGTGTTGCCCCATATAAGCTATCACTATGCTCCAAGAATTTTATAACACAAGTACTTGAAGTTTCCTTTATTTCATTTTCCTTTTGTTGCGTGCCTGATTTCTTCTTATTGGTTATCATGACAATGATCAATACCTGACTCTCTTTGAACACCACTCTTTCATCATATTTTAAGATTAAAGAATCTTACCTCTTGGACTGTATTTATTAATTTTACACACCACGCCACATGTTCATTGGTAGTAATAGTATTGGTCACTGCAACTATGGATTTACATATGCTGATACTTATGTTGGAATCATATTTTCTAATCAAAAGATGTGATCTCTAGCCCGGTGTCAATGTGACTTAAACATCATGTACTAGCAGATTATGTTTGTAGAAACTCAGCACTTTCAGTTAATTGGCTTTCCAAGGGTGGACAGGTTGCAGACCTAAATATTGTCAAGAAACAGAAGTTTGTTTTAATATTACTTCCAGTTCATGGTTTAATCTCAACCGGTGGACAGTTTAAGATAGGGATGGCTTAGATGATTAAATGAAGATCACACAATTGCAGATAGTGATTACCTTTTCTGCTTAGTATGCTCTTCTCCTAGATTTGTAGTGATGCTAGGATTATTTTTGTGCTTTGTTCCCTTAAGAAACATTGTAATTTGTAGTTGTTGAATTTCTTTGTCAACTAGAGATATGACCAAAGTAGTAATTATAAGGTTTAGACAATCCTCACCTCTTTGGCTGGCTTTTGAAGTTGAACTAGGCTTGACACTCAACCTCTAAGAGTAGTGTTAGAATTATTCACAGGTAAAACATGCCTTGTGTCATTAGTTGCTAATAGGATTAGAATTAGCAACTGAATTTTTTAGTCATTATAAATATATTACAAAAACAACCTTGTTCAGTCTAATTAGACACACAGAAATTCAAATTCAATATGGTGTCATAGTAGCCTAGTAGGGGATGAGTCTTAAGGAGAAGGTGGTGGAAGTGGTCTCTGTTGATAGGTGTGAAAGGTAGGTGGGAATAGATATAAGGGCAGGTGCATTTGGAATATTAAGGACATATGGAGAGGATGATTGTGACTTACTAGAAACATTTGACTCTTTTGGAGTAAAAGGAAATAATGGACTAGTATCAAAGAAGCATACATATGCTAAGACAATGTACCGCCTAAGATCTGGGAGTAACATCAATATCCTTTTCGCAGAAAAGAATAGCCGAGGAAAAGACACTTGAGAGTAAATATGTGCATCCAAAGAGGCATAAGGTAGAGACTAAATATGTTGTTCATGGAACGTATTTCACTAAACTGAATGGTGGTACTCATTTTCTTTTCAGCATGGGTCATATGACAACTGAATAAAGTAGTATAAATGAACATGGGCTAAAAGCACTATCATCATCCTTTCCTCTTCACACTTGTACTATTACTGGAAATTGTTAATTAGCTAGCAATAGCCATGGCTGCAACTTGTGACAAGGGATTTGCATATAGTTATATGATTTTAAATCCAGAAGATGCTCATTTCTTTGATATTATTCATGTTTTATTTTCCTGTAATATTGGACATAGAAAATTTATGGACAATAATGCTGAGGGAGATGTTGAGGGAAGTTTCAGAGGTAGATGGCTTATATTTATCTCTGTTGTTCTACAGAAGTTCTTGATGTTCATTGCTAAACCACTTGCTAAGTTGGGAACTTGTGTAGAGATGTTGGTTAATCTCATTTCTCTTAATGGAGGCATCATCATGATCATAATTAACTTTCTCTCTGGTGAGTTCTTCTTTGATTTGTAGTTAATTTAATTAATTATCTTATTTGGTTGGACTCTATTGAAAAAAAATTCAAATCTCATGTTGATATAGATATAGGATTGGATAAATTTTATATTTGATAGAATTTTTTTTTATAAGTCGATTTTATAAAATAAATTAAATCAAACTCTAATTCTAATATATATATATATATATATATATATATATATATATATATATATATATATATATATATATATCAGAATTAGATTAAGAATCACTTATGTTTTACTGGAACGTTGGTGCCTTCAGAACCAGGATCATCCATTGGAGCAGCTATTGCAGCAACTATGACTATTCCACCTGATGCTCAATGCAATGTGACATTTTCATTGGCATGGGAAAACCCTGAAGTGAAGTTCCCTGGAGGACGGGTTTATAACAGGTTAGTGGTAGAAAACGTGAATAATAAGGTTTCTTGTTTAAAGACCATACAAAACTAATGGAACTTGATTATCAGGCGTTACACCAAATTTTATGGTACTAAAGGAGATGCTGCTGCAGATAGTGCACATGATGTTATTATTGGTAATCTTCTTTTCTTAAATTCATTAGCTTTTGTACCTATAAAGTGGAGATTGCATCTAGCATAATTATATCAATAGATAGGCTGTAAAGAGGCAGACTACATTTATTTATATTTTTATGCCAAATTTAGATGAAGTTTCCACCATATTGACAAAACTGTGCAGAGGCATACTTATTTGTGAATAATTATTATATCAATTGGTAGACTTTTAAGAGGCAGGCTATATTTATATTTTTCGGGATGTATGTGTCCTTCCCATGTTGTTACAAAATAAATTTTGTTAGAATTTGTTAAATCAATTGATGAGAATTACTCATGACTCATGTAAAATTTATTTAATTATTTATGAATTTAATATTTTAATTTTGAAACTTAAACAATTTATTTAATTATTTATGTATTTAATATTTTAATATGAAAAAATGGGTACAAATTATTTTTGTACAGGGAAATATCCAGAAAATAAATAATTTATTTTAAAAAAATTTCTTATATTTTACATCGGTTATTACTCCCAACTGATGTAAAAACTTTCAAAACTGTATATATTACACCGGGTTTAGATTATAACCGATGTAAAAAAGGGACTTTTTACATCGTCCACACGTTTAACCGATGTAAAAAGTTGCGTCAATTTTTTTAAAATAATGTTATAATTGTTTTTTACATCATTCTTAGATCACAACCGATGTAAAAAGGGACTTTTTACATCGGTCCACACGTTTAACCGATGTAAAAAGTTGCGTCAATTTTTTTTAAAATAATGTTATAATTGTTTTTTACATCAGTCTTAGATCACAACCGATGTAAAAAAGGGAATTTTTACATCGGACCCAGAACCGATGTAAAAAGTACCTGATTTACTATATCGTCTGACTTTACATTGGACCCAGAACCGATGTAAAAAGTCAGTTTCACCCGATGTAAAAAGTCATTTCTGCACTAGTGACACCTTGGTAGGGCCATTATGCACTACCTGTTGAGCATCCTTAAACGAAGCTATATAATTCTCATTTTCCCTTACATTATCAATGGATTAAGCTTGGAACTGAGTTCCAACAGCAACTTCATCATCTTCGACAAGACTGAAAGAGGACAAATGAGATATTAGCAAAGCCTTCTCTCCGTTCACGATGACTACCTTTCCTTCACCAATAAACTTCAGGTTTTGGTGAAAAGTTGAAGTAACAGCTCCTGCCTCGTGGATCCATGGTTGTCCCAATAAACAATTGTAGGCGGGAACAATATCCATAACTTGGAAAGTAATCTAAAATAAGTGTGGGCATGTGTGAATAGGCAAATCTACTTCTCTGATTACAGACTTCCTAGAACCGTCAAAATCTTTCACAATTATGCCACTCAGGCGCATGAGAGTTCCCTGGTACTTAAACTTCATGAGTGTGCTCCTTGGTGTGACATTTAAAGCAGACCCATTGTCAATCAGCACATTGGACAAAGAGTCATTCTTACAATTCATGGAGATATGGAGAGCCAGATTATGGTTCCTTCCCTCATTGGGAAATTAGTCATCACAAAAACTCAGGTCATTACAAGATGTAATATTCCACACAACACTAGTGAATTGGTCCATAGACATATCACTTTCCCCAAAAGCTTGATCCAATATTTTCATCAAGGATTCCTTATGGGCAGCGAGTTCATTAGTAATGCTAGAATGGATATCTTAGATGGAGTTTGCAACAATTGATCTACAATCATATAGTCACTTATCTTGATAATCTTCAACAAGTCATCCACATCTTTTTCCAAAGCAGTGCCTCTAGATTCTCACATTGTTTTCATAAATTATGTACTTTCAGCAACCCTTTTATCAGAATTAACAATCCCTCAAATGACAGGTGCGAAAACACGGCCACTATGGGTTACTCGACTGGCTTCAGTAATATTCTTGACATCAGACAAAGGTTGGATAGGAATTTCCAAACCATTTTCCAGGATTGTCGCATTGTATTTATGTGGCACTGTTTTGTCTGATTCATATGGGACAGGACCCGACAGGAAAATAACCACTGGAGAAACAACTAGCTTAATATGGTACTCAATCTATATAGGGTCGAGAACACCAAAACATGGCACAATAACATTTACCCCTTCTTCAGAATACTTAGACATCGCATAATCATTGTTGGAGGACACATCTTCATCATAAGAAAATAACTCATCTGCAGAAACATACTCATCATCTGACACAGTCTCGGCGGAGCAATCTTCAATCATGTTAAGTCCATTGTAATCATCTTTATTGCCTGAGATCTTGATGGTACCATTGTCTAACAACAAGTGAACACCCCTTTTCACAATGGAACAACCACGAGAATCTCTGCAGCAGATCTGGCAAGACCCATAATGGTGTTCTTCTTGGCCATCCATGTGATAGAATGTAGCGTGTAACTACACCAAATCATCATTCATATAATTCACGTCAAAAATCCGGAATTCACCGGGACATCCATAGAACACATTCACAACTTCTTCATACTCTGCCCTTGGCCTGATTATATGAATGAGACCTTCATTTATCATTTCTTGAAGATCATCTTTTATCTTATCACATCACTGGATATTTATACTGCAAATACTACAACCAGCATGGTCATGCGTATAGTAGATGAATTCACAGAGGTCAGAGTGCATCTTCACTACATCATCTCTAACTAGGTAGATATCAAAAATCCGGAAGTCCCCTGGACAACCGGCAACCATATTTACAACATTTGCACCTCCATGTTTAGGCAAAGGATTATCTTTCACGTTAGGGCCAACATATTTAAAAGATAGGAGGAATGATCTCACCATATTTTGTACTTCAGATTTCAAAGGATAACAGTTCTCGATGTTGTGCCCTAGGTCTCCTTGATGAAAAGTGCATGTTTAATTTGCCTTATAACAGAGGGAGGCCTGGTTTGGACCAACTTCTTCTGAATCAAAGTCGGGAATAACTATGCATAGCTCATTAGAATAGAGTCAAAGGCCTCTCTCTTCTAACTTTTCCCTTGATTTCCCTGAGGAGGTGGTCTCTGATAGGAAACAGTGGTTGGATCTAAATTAACAACTGGAGTCACATAAGCAACCTATTTCTGGTATCGATGGTGTCTTTTTGGTGGTTTAATCTTCCTTTCCCCAATAATAGCATTCATTTCACTTTCTTTCTTTCTAGGAAATCCGTATGATGACTTCTTTATACCCTCGTCTTTCGTCAAGTGTCCTTCCCTGACAACTTCTTTTAAAAGAACACCCATGCTTACCATTTTGGTTAAATCACTCGGAACACTGGCAACCATACTTTCATAATAAAATGACCCAAGGGTTTTCAGGAAGACCTTGGTCATTTCTTGTTCTCCCATAGGTGGTACCACCTGGGCAGCTATCTCGCGCTAGCGGTGCACATATTCTTTGAACGAATCCTTGTCTCTCTGAGCCATCGCCCTAAATTGGTCACGACCTGGCGCCATGAACGTATTGTACTTATACTATTTGATGAAGGCTTCCCCTAGATCATTGAAGGTGCGAATATTACTACTGTCCAAACTCATATACCACTTTAAAGTGGCATCGGTTAAAATATCCTGGAAGAAATGAATAAGCAAACGCTGATCATCAGTATGGGTGGACATTTTTCTAATATACATCACCAGGTGTTAACTTGGAGAAGAGTTTCCCTTGTACCTCTCAAATTCCGGCACTTTAAACTTTGATGGAACCTTTACATTGGAAACTAGGCAGAGTTCACTAAAGTTCTGTCCAAATAATTTTTTTCCTTGAAGGGCCTTCATTTCCTTATGCATCTCACTGAAGTTATGCCAAAAATCATCTAATCGTTCATAGAAACCCATACTTTCACTCGGTGGAGGAACAGGACGATAAACTTC